ACTCTTTACTGACTTAGATCTTGATAAGCCAGAGGGCGCTCTCTGAAGCTTGAAGGATGAAGGTGGGCCTGTTAAAGAGTTGGATCGAGACAATCTAGAGCTAGCGGGTCCGGCTTCTTCTGAAATGGTGCCCATCGAATTAGACTGCATCTGTTTTAGCGACGTGTTTTCAACTTTGAGTGTCTGAAGTTCTTGTTGCATCTTTGTCGATTCATAAGTCATCTTCTCTAGCTCGGCCGCTTGTGCTTCGAGGCCCTCCACGCGAGCTCGTAGTTGTGGCACAACTTCATCCCGAAGGTTGTCGCGTTCATTAGAAGCAGTTTGAAGCTCACCCTTGAGGGCTGTGAGCAAGTCCTCGAAGTTATCCTTGACCTGGCGCTCCTCAGTAAGCTTTCGTCGCAGGGTTTCGCAGGTGCTTTCCAATTCCTTAACGCGTCCACTGGTATCAATACTGTTAATTTTCGCAAGATCAATTTGTGAAGCCCTTTCCGAAAGCTCCCTGATCTGCTCATCTAGCTCTTGTCTTCTGGACCTCTCATCTTGGAGTTTATTGGTCAATTCGAGCCTAATCTGAGCCTTCTCCTGCTCTGACCTCCTCTGGATCTTCTCGATTTCTTCCCTTGATTGATCATATTCGCTTAACTTAGCCGAGCTGTATCCTGAATCCGAGAAGTAATCACTGGTCCTCTTGTTTCCATTGGTTGTGGGGTTGTCCCTCTCTGCTTGTAGTCTATCAACTAAATCCTCTAGGTCCATCTCGCGACGAATTGACGCTGCCAATTCGGCCGAGATGGCCTTTAACTCGTCTTCCATTTCTTCGATTTGGTGAGACAGCGGTAGCGTAGCGGTTGGTGGTGTCGCAAGGTAGGATTCGCAATAGTCCCTAGAATTTGGAGATCCGAATAGCGCCTTGGGGGCATCAAGTAGTGATTGTGGTCCAATTGTTGTGACCGGGGATGCATCGGTAACGCTGGTTGTCTTTGAGAAGTTGAAGGGCGATGGAAGAGGCGAAAAGCCTTTGTCTGATACCTCAGTATTCGAAGGCGAAGTAGTCCAGCCAAAGAACGTTCCTAATTTCGAGGAGCCAGGTGATTTCGGCAATGGCTTATCAGTATTAGGCGTTTTAACCTCGTAGCTGTCAGCTGTTGGGGTTGTATCGTCTGGCTTGAGATTCAACTGTGGGGGTGTGGCCTTCCGGGTAACATGCAACGACATAGTATTAGAATGATTAGAATTACTATTATCAGACGAATCTGAATTATATCCGTCGAAAATATGCTCACTCAGCGGATCCTCCTCCTCGTCGCTAAAAAGGTCGTCATACGTGGTTGGTCCTTGGTGTTGTGACAGGTCGGTGCTGTGGTGTGTTTGAGGAGCAGCAGGGTTGTCAGCCCGGGAATCTGGACGTTTGACTTCACCCGCTTTGACAGCCGGGATGGAGTCGGCAGAAGCCAGCGGATGACGACCCAGGGGGGTTTTTCTGGTTAATATCAAGAATTGATTAGCAATACTGAATTTAGATGATTCGCGCTGGATTGTAGATTAATGAGACCCTGACTCACTCCGCGTTTCCCTGAATCAAGATGATGTCGTTGGGTGACTCCAATCCGCGCCCAATTGGAGGGCGAGGGAACTCGTACACGGTAGGGCTATCTACCGAGAAGGAGCGTGAAAAACGTTGATCTGGTCTAGGCAAGCCTTTCGTAATGGCCAGATACTCTCCAGAGGAATATCTAGTGGCGATTGGCGATGCGGTTGACGACAATGGCTTCCTCCGAATAGACCAGGTTGGCGGCAACACAGCAGAGCTGTCTATAACTAGATTTCTTGTATTTCTCGATGCCGGTTGGGCAGCGGCTGAGTCTAGGGGTTGCGATTGGTCTGAAAGGGAAGGAAACTGTTGCTGAAGGAAAGATAGATCAGATGAGGCATGAGAAGTCTCAGAGTTGGCCGTGAGGGAGGCCCGGTGCGCGTGATCTTGGTACGGCAAGGACTGAGGGACGGACATGGTGGTCAATCTACTCCCTTGTCTTATCATTCATGACTAGCCGGAATGTGTGGAGAGTTACAGGTCAGGCCAAGAGATTATTGACTCGGTATACCAGGAGAGATGGTAATGTTTCACTGCCAGTTGAGAAAGGAAACTTGAACAACCCAACAATAGTTTGGTGACCAGGAAAGCGAGAGAGCGCAACAATAGAGAAAGGACGAAAGCACCAGAAATTCATCTAAGCTGGGGGGGTGGAATGATCGAAAGGGGGATGGCGGCATGGGCTACCACTTAGTTAGCGTCGCAATCGGTCTTTTACCCATTATTAGACCATGAAAATGATCAAGGGTATTATGAGCATTGGCAGCTTTGTGGCTCCTGCTTTATTCTGCAGGCGCTTGAAAGTTGACAGGCATTGCTTTAGCGCGTAAGCTTCCCCAGTTGTGCCTGGTTATGCCCGGTTGTGCCCCTGGAATTGTTCTCTTTTGGTTCACTTGGCTTTGTTAAGACAATTCTACTGGTCCGTCATTATCATAAACCCCTGTCAAGCCTGTCAACCAACAGATTAGCATTCCGCGCTGTAGACCCTGTTATATCCATTTTCGTCCGTCTGTAATTTCAATTCCCCCTTGTATTATTCCCTGAATTCCCTGAGTTCGAGAGAGGTAATTATCCCTCTGAGCAAGGCTGGCAGTGGCAGTGAACCTTTAAAGTAAAGTAGGGGGCAAAGTAGTATACATACATGTAGGGAGGTAGTATTATTAGTGTATATATCCTGCAAGCGCATTCGTGGGCATTTGGCTTGAGAGGGAGGGTGAATTATTTTAGTTTTAGTCGCTTACTTCGCCCAGGTTGCCAGGGTCTGGATCCTGCATTCGCATTCTCCTGCATACTGCAGGTACCAACTGCACTTGCACCTGCAGGCAACGGCATTTCGGTAAATGATCAGCCACACCTCTAGTGGGGTGTTTGGTTCGCTTAGAGGTGCGTGTTCCTGTAGGTAATCTCGACTTCCCGATGCCGACTTTCCCTTTTCGAGACCGTAGAATAAAGAAAGATCGATCTTAATACTGCGATATGATTGCAGGTCCACTAGCGCCTCTAGCGGCTAACGGGGAAATTCAGAGCTATTCCTGCCTATCATTGAACAATTCATTTCTCAATTGTGTCATTATTAAAAGACGTAGGTATACCGCGCGGTAGGTAAGTTGCAGTGTTGAAAAGTTGGCATCCAATAACTACATCAAAGGTTTGTAAATATAAAAGAGATGAAGCCGACACAAGGCCAGTTGCCTACGGTAGGTCGCGTAAAGGCTCTGCGTACGGTGTGAGTACTTAAACGACAACCCTGAAGTAACCAGGTCTTATCACGAAACCTTGACCCTGGCTACATAGAAACTAGAGGTTGATAGGTGCTTTGAATTGTTTTATTATTAACTTGAGCCTCAAATGATTCACGACCCGCCGTACACAGTACTACATCGAACACGTTGGATGTAAGACAGTATGACTGTTGCTAGCGGGATCCCCAAAAACGTCAATACTTTAAATCAACTCCTATGTCTTAAGCTTTCCCGGCGTTAGGTATGTACCTATGTGTCGCCTGACGCTTGCAAAATCTCACCACGGTGATTTAATGGCGTTTTACTACGTACTAGAAGTCATCAATAGATGAGCAACTGTAGATCAGGGGCTTCACCCACAAAAATGATTGATTGTCAGCACTGGGTAATCCTTGTTGCACATCAGTGGAACTGCCCTCTAAGGGTAGGTCGCCGAGACTAGATTCACGACCACTCATCTCCCTAATATCGTTAAGGTTTCTGCTATGCACTAAGAGGTTATCCCCCAAATAGATGCTGTTTAATCAAGGGAATGATTCTAATGATGAATGGAGGGATTCCCATGAAGAATGGAAGTTCTATAAAGGGACAACAAAGAATGACAAAAACTGCCTTTGCCACATGGTGTCCTAAACTCCGGCTGGGCATGTAAAAAATTGGCCTAGCGTCAGGTACGACATGACGCAGTACGCACCCGAGGTTTTGGATTTCACTGGACCCTTATTGGTCACTTTGGCAACATGAACACACGAGGAAAAGCGACACTGGCTCGTGAGTGGTCGGGTTTCGGAACCTGATTGAACTTGGCAATAGTACCTTATAACGATATAACTTTCGTTTAAACCAAATCTTGTCTAAAAATATGACCGGCATTAGCCGTCAATACGAGATACATATAGGTAAGGAACATTCGACAATATAGCGGCGGTAGTTCTTCATAGTCAATAACATCTTCTCAATGTCTCGATGAGGTTGCTTTCTAGTTTGAAAATCCGTAAATGCAACAGCCCGTACATGGAGTTCGCTGTAGTAGAAAACGAACATGAGTTCTTGAGAATCCTGAAAGGAACCCTCCAGCTTTCGTTTGACGTATCATGTCGTCAAGAGAATTGATAGTAAGGTGTGTCATTCGGAGTATCACTTCCAAGGATTCTACGGGATTGTTTGCATGCTGGGTTTCTTATCTGTAAGACTAACTAGATAGCTTGTCCTATATACATACCTACGGTTAGACGCTCAATAATTACCTAGAGAGTCAAATATACTTAGTAGGTGATATAGGAAATATTGAATGTGAGAGTGCGAAATAGTACGGAGTGATTCACTTCGAATGATATCCGTAAGATAGGCGCCAAAGAAGCATACAAAATCACACTATTGAGAGCAACACCATCTTAGGATGCTTCAACGCAAAATCTGCCTATCAGAGAATACAATGTCGGTAAGTCGCACGCAGAGTGACTACCCACATATTCACGAAGTCCCAATCATGTCTATGGTCATGTCTCTGTACTAGTATGTACGTACCTACGATAGCATCAAGTAGGTAGATACATGTATCCACTTTTTACCAGTGGGAAAAAAGAAGAGCAGCCGGCACAACTTCGGGGTCCATACCTGCTTTCCGCACTACGATATAATGCGCCGGTACTGACCAACCATCATCAGCCCGGTTAGCTCAATCGGTAGAGTAAGTTAAACCACCTTCACAAGATGTGACGGATCAGTCAACTAACAAGGACACAGGCGTGAGACTCTTAATCTCAAGGTTGCGGGTTCGACCCCCGCATCGGGCTCAATTCCTGATGCGTTCCTATTACAGGAACACTTCGAACCAAATTTTTTTTCGCTTTTTTTTGGTCTTGTGCTTTTTGTGTCGTCTTAGGGCATGAATAAATCAGCTACAGTTAACTTTTCATCATGTAAGAAGATGATGCATGACTCCCGAGCAACATCATGGTAGGATCCCACTAGATACCTACACACAAGCATTGGTTGGGTCGGAGTCACAGTCAGCCCACTGTTGCACCAGCGCAACGCCCCGAATTTCCTTTTTTGCGGACGGCTGCCTATGTTGTGCTTCATAAGAGTCTCACCGGTTTCGTTGTTTCATGCCGACGATCCCGGAAGAAGCCCCATAGAATCTACATGATGTGATGACGGCTAATGCTAGTTGTTACAAACGAGAAGCAGCGTCTTTAGAAAGGTTGCAGGAATGAATGACGTGATGTTGTCCAGAATCGTTACTCATACAGGCATGATACTTGGCCGGGACTCATTTGGAATCCTCAGCCTTATAATAACATATTACGGCCTGGGCACGCTTGTTTTGTTCAACTAGACGTCCATTTGCCTAGGTACCAATATAGCCCAAACCAAGCTGGATATGGCGAGCACAACATCTGGTCTTATTAAGAGATCTAAGCCTTTTTTCGTGAATCTTGTTTCGTGTTTCATTGTCAGGCTAATGATCCCAATGGCTGTCACATGAGAAGGGGCTTACGGTTGACATATTCGAGTGCCTTTGGATCAAGGCCGCATCTACGAGAGAGCTCAGGGGCTCCCTTGAGGGCCACTGGATTCACTGTGTCGTACAAGACAGCCATAGAGGGCCGAGCCTACGTGTCAGCCGAGAATGTGTATGCAGAGGTCTTTTTCATACTAATTACTCATTAAATACGCATTAAATAACAACATAGGTACCATGCTCCCCCTATTTTATGTAATATCCATCCTCAAACGCCGATGCTGTGCAACTTTTGGGAATATCTCAAAACACACTGTTCTTGCTCCATTTGTTAGCAGCTCTAATTCTCCTACCAAAGAAGTAAAACACATATGGCACGGGTATCAGCAAGCAAGCAAAACCAGCAAAAATGCTCGACCCGGGACCAACTCCAATGTTGTGGTACATAGGCGTAACGACAAGCGGGAACGCCGCGGCGAAACAACTCCGCAGGAAGGTATTAGCAGCGACGGCGCTAGCTGCGTACATCTGAAAGGTATCGACGAGATAATTAAGCGCCGCCTGGAAGATTGTATTGAAACCACACCCGGTGAGGTAGAGACCGATGACAGGTACGATCCAATGCACATCTGGGTTTGCTGTCCAGCCGGTGATAAACTGACCCGTAGCAAACAGTATGGATCCCAGCATCATTGGCGGAAGTCTTTTCTCGGGGACCGGTCGGTCTCCCATTGCATGATATGCCTTATTGTAGTAGAGCTGGTTGGACATATTGATACCGGCACCGGTGATCGACCCAAGGAGGATTGCTAAAAAGGGTAGTTCGCTGGCCACTGTCCCCCAACCCCTGATCTCCCCGAAAATAATGGGAACGGCTCCGAGTTGCATATAGAGAATTCCGTAGCAGAAACTTGCGTACAGCGCGACCAGGAAGCATATAGGCGTGCAGAGTAACTGTATGGGACGAACAAGGAACTTCCTAGCCAGTTCCATGACGCTGACATCCCACTCCTCAAACTTCGCATGCAAGGCCCAATTGCCCGTCTCAAATCGCAGTCGACGCGCCTTAATAACAAGGAGACTCGGCGGATACGTCTCGTCGATGAAAATAACGGCTAAAGTTAGGATAACGGACTGTATTATCCCAGTCGTATACTCAGTCCAACGCCAACCGAGATCCGGTCGCGCCACACATGCAGCAGAGACAATGGGCCCTACCGTGGGCCCACCTACCACGGCCATGGCATAGCCTGCCATCGCGATGCCACGATACGCCGGTGTAAAGAGGTCACCTAAAACACCGCCGGTATTAGTCACAGGTGCCGAGGCAAAAATTGCACCCCAGAATCGCGTCAGCATGAGGGTCTGAAAGTCCTTGGCCGTGGCAGACCCAAACGAAAAGCATATGGACACGAACATCGGCGTCAGGACTGCGACGCGTCGGCCATAGACTTCTGACAGCGGCGCCCAAAGCAGCGGGCCTATGCCGAACCCGAGAAGGAAGAGGGTCGTGCCTAGAATCGCTACTTGCGTGCCCACCCCGAACTCTTCCGCAATCTCGACTGTACCGGCGGAATACGAAGACGATGCCCAGGTCGCGGTCATAGTGACCAGGCCATATAGAAGCGTCGTGAGCACTTTCTTATGTCGAGGCCAATTTACAGGCCGATAGGGGTCGTCGGGCCCATCGAAGTCAACGAGGCACTCCTGGCCGGTCTTCACCTTTGCGAGTGGATGACTGAATGGAGGGACTGTAGGTCTAGATCGGACCCGCGATAGCACGGTATCCCGTCGCGAGATTGTCCTCGAGAGAGACCTTGAGCGCTCATTCGGGATATCTCGGCCGCTTGCGTGGGTCTGGGATATACGTTGATCGAGAGTGCATGGTCGATGCCCATCATGAACGTATTTTTCCGACTGAGGGCATTCGCAACTAGGCGGTTCCGAGTCGGGCGCGGTTGCGGGAGAATCCGCATCTGGAGCTCGTCCCCTAAAAGACCCGCTCTGTGAGCGTTCGGAATCGTCCTTATCTTCAGTTATTGCCATTGCTGCACTCTAAAAATGCCCTAGAAATTAAAATATAAAAATATAAAGACCATCCATATCCAAACTGAAGACCAATGGTGGCGTCACGCCAGCACCAGATATAGGTTACATCATACTCGTTAATATGGGACCGAAAGCCGAAGGATTAATAGAGCGAAGTTCCGATCCTAATGACGTAGTGCTTTCAGGGACTCCAATACCAGGGTTTAGTACGGCAATAACTATTTTATTGGGAAATCCCTAGCCAGCCTAGCGGCAAGCAACAGCTACAATTTTTCTCGGACCCTTGCCGGTACCTAGAAAACCAGGTTGCGGGGACTTCGAACCATGACCGACCGATATGAGATTTAGGTATTAAGAGTCGAGAAGGGAAATAGCAATTGTTACTATCCTAATTGCAGTTTTATTTCATCTATTACATATATACATTAGGTGGTATCCGTAGTCAGTCTATATCATTATATACAAAAAAAAACAATTGCGAAGTATCTAACTTGCAACGGTGGGTATCTTAGATATTATTATAACTTAGGGTTGAACTTGCTGCGAATACGTTCTCCGAACATATAGAAAATGACCGGTATCGGGATGAGCGCCAGCGAGACAAACCCGAGCAGGCTATTCCCCCATCCCAGACCCAGCGCATTGTACATGTCGAGGCCGCCTAGGGGAAGTAATGCGCCGAGAAGCGATCGAAGAACGGCTAATGCGGCAGTAACTGATGCCGCGTACTGGGGATACGTGTCGAGGAGGTAGTTTTGGATGCAGAACTGTGAAATGTGTCAGCTTATCTCATAAAGTGCCCAATTAAAGGAGAAAGTAGATGCGATCACTTACCATAACACCCATGAGTCCAGCGCTAAAGATGAGAACGCCGAGCATAGGGACAATCCAGTGAACCCCGAAATTGGTGGTCCATCCGTAGATGAATAGACCAATGGGAAGCGCGAAACCGCTGGGAATCGTGAGCGTAGGCGCAAGACGAACCTCGGGTCTATGTGTAATCCCCTTTGCTTGGTTCCGCTTGACCATTATGTCGGTGAGCTGTCCAAAACCGACAACACCGATCATCATGCCTAGTCCCGCAGGCAGGAATGTCAGGCCGTTATCACCCTCGCTGAAGCCGTATTGTTGCGTATATACGAAGGAGAATGTCGTGATGAGCAGGTACATGATGCCGTATGTAATGGCAACATACAGCGACATAAGGGTAACGATTGGTGTGACTAGAAGGAGTTTCATTGGGCGGATAATGGCAAGCTTGAATTGCTCCTTAGGCGTCAGCCGTCCAGAGAGCTTGCTGCGCAAGTTCGGGTTGCCGGTCTCCTTGCGGAGCCTCTTGGTCTTGTGCTCGAGAAGGACGGGGGCGAAAGTTTCTCGGAGAAAGAAGAAAGACAGAGGGATGAGGACGCCACCCTGCACTTTTGTTAGCTCATCTACGATATAATGGGCGATGCCTGAAAGTGAGGTTTAACATACCAGGATAACAATTAGCCAGTACACCCATCTCCACCCAGCAGCCTCGATCAAGTAACCACCAGCGATGGGACCAATGCAAGGACCGAGGAGAGGACCTAAAGCCCAGGCAGACATAGCTCTACCTCGCTTTTCGACAGGCATTATATCCGCGATACTACCACTTCCAATGGTCACAGGCACTGCTCCCGACAACCCCATAAGTAAGCGGAACGCCATCAGCATTCCGATGCTTTTAGAAAGAGCGGCGCCGACGGTGAAGCAGACGAAGAGTATGTTGCCAACGATGTATAGGGGTCGACGACCAAGGATCTCACTTAGCGGCGCTATGAGGAGTGGGCCGAAAGCAAAACCTAGGATGTACACCGAGACCAAGAACGTGGCTACGGTGGAGGATCTCTCATGGAATTCTACCATAATGCCAGGAATGCCAGGGGCAAACATGGAGGAGCCCAAGGGACTTTGGTGAGTTAGTATGACGAAGAATGGTAAAATACAGGAGGTAGGCTAGAGGGAAGATACTCACGTTACGATAGTCATTATAGACAGGATGCCAATGTTCAACCACTTGTTCGTGTCGGACCAGTTCATAGGATTTTCGGGGTCATTGGGCCCGTCCCAGTCCACGACATTCGGATCCTTCTCATCGGCGTTGAGTTCGCGGTTATCAGGCCCGGCTTCAACGTCTTTTTCCGACTCTGGCCCAACGGTTAAGGAATCCATGTCTGGTGTTGGAGGGGCAACTGAGTCTCTCTCTGTCTTTTCGGTATTCATCATTGTTAGATCTTGCGACACCATCGATAGAGA